AGAGTGAGGAACAACAGATGGTGGATGGAAGAAATCGAACCCAGAAATCGAAGAAGAAGAATATGAATAGATGGTGGATGGAAGAAGACAGTGAGAGTGAGGAACAACAGAATAGGGGGAAGAGATGATTTTGAGGAGAAATCAGAGGAGAGAGGAGAGAGGAGAGAGGAGAGAGGAGAGAGAGATACGAGAGATTGAATGTAAGGGAGGGGAAAGAGCAGAAAGAAAGAGAGGGGAAATATAAGGGCGGGTTCTTATTTTCACTACAATTGGCACCGGTTAACCGGTGCCATTTCTTTTTTTTTGGGTTTTTATTTTCTAAAGGAAAAGGCATCGGTTAACCGGTGCCAAAACTCATCCCCTAATCCGGCCCATTTCTTTTACCACCGGTTTTCAAGAACCGGTGCCAAAAGTGCGGTGCCTATTTCATTTTTTTCTACTAGTGCCCCTGCCCCCTCATCTTTCTGCTTGCATTTCTGATTTCAGAAACTGATTTCAGTTATAATTTTAGATTCTGAAATTATTGTGTGTGTGTGTGTGTGTATGTGTCTGTATGTGTGAGTGAGTGTAAGAGTGTATGTGTAAGTGTGTGTGTTTTCTCCTGGCCGTGTACAATCTTATTTAAGAATCTGATTTCAGTTCTAATTATTGAGAGAGTGTGTGTAAGTGTGTTTAAGGGGGTGCATATTCACTTGTTACTAATTTACTTGATAATACCTCCTAGTAGTAGTTGTGTTGGGTGAGCATGTGTTGGGTAATTTGTGATCTATGGTGGCTGTTGTAGTAATAATGGAGGCATTTCAGTTTCTACATGTCATTGTTTTCCTCTGCTTTTATGGGAGGGCGTTGATCTATATCAAAAACCTATTAGCTTAAGTGGTAGAGCACTATGCAAATGCATAGATGATGTAGGTTCGAATCCTACATAGGCTGTATTTTTAAATAACTATATTAAAAAAAACCTTCAAAAAAAACTTGATCATATCTCCTTTTCTGCTCAACAATATTGTTGTTCAATTCTTATACATGTCTTATAATTGTAATATGATTTATGCAATGTCCAAAATTTTTAGAACGAATTAGCCAAGGCAACTTCCTCTTGATCAAATAATAGGTGTTCCTTTTCTAGCTTAACCTCAAACTTTTGTAAGTTATAAGTTAATCATGCTTCCTGCTGTATATATACTTGCAGTACTTCTTCTTCTGATGCCAAGCTACACAAGCAGTGTCAATAAAGGAAGATACAACTGCTTAGTACACAAGAATGTCGCAGTTAGCATTGGACATTGGTGTAATAATTGAGCGTATCACTCGTGTGGGAAAGGAGCAAGAAATAACAATGAAGATTGCAGTTCAAGATGTTTATAGAGACAGCTGCATACAACTGACACTGCATTTCAGAAATTCTTCTGAAAGTTCTAATTCTGCTACTTCTACTGGTATGATTTTGCTGCTCTGTTCCAAGAGAAGTTTTTGTATTTGGGTTTCTATATGACTAATTTCCTACTCAATACTACTAACTAAATACTTATCACTAGCATAGATCATTTTCTTTGTGCATTTGGTATAATTTATTAATCATGTTTCAGAAGCTGTCAAATGTCCGTGTAACATACGAAAAGGCTATTAACCGGAAGCAGTGGGTGTCTTTTGTATTGTTTTCCCAATAGCCAAAAGAAATAAATTACATTAACTACTCAAAATCTTCAAACTCTGCATTTTCACACTACTCTACATGCTAATTGAGTGTAGTTTTCTCATTCCTTTGCTCACACTACAAACTTGTGTCTCCACATTACATAAATGAACCTACGTGGGATTCGAACCCACTTCTTTTGTGCATTTGCACAATGCTCTACCCTTGAGCTAGTAGGCTAGCGTATTTAAAACATTCAAACACACTCATAAATGAGCATTAATTTGACAAAATGAGCAAGAATCATTTGCTCATTTGAAAAATGAGCATTAAATAGTTTTCTCATTTGACAAAGGAGCATTGAATTTTTTTGCTCATTTGACAAATGAGCAAAAAATAACTGCTCATTTGACAAATGAACAAAAAAATTAATTGCTCATTTGACAAATGAACAAAAAAATTAATTGCTCATTTGACAAATGAGCAAAAAATTAATTGCTCATTTGTCAAATGAGCAAATAATTAATTGCTCATTTGACAAATGAGCATTAAATAGTTTGCTCATTTGACAAAAAAAATGAACAAAAAATTAATTGCTCATTTGACAAATGAGCAAAATATTAATTGCTTATATGTCAAATGAGCAAATAATTAGTTTCTCATTTGTCAAATGAGCAAATAATTAGTTGCTCATTTGTCAAATGAGCAAATACTTAGTTGCTAATTTAAAAATGAGCAAAAACTTGGTTGCTCATTTGTCGACGGTTGATATGAGAGTATGAGGCCTAAAACTTAGATCAATCTACGTATCATAGAGAATCTTCAGGTTAGGCTTTTCGAAATTAGGAGTTAAAACATGTCATTATTAATTAGCACAAAGAAATATGTATAGAGGAGCCTTGATACTTACTTGGATTCTGGTTAGAGATAGCAGCAGTCTGGGAGAAGTAGCACTGGTAGGGCTGGCGACCCTTGGTTTGGTAAAATGTGTTCATGGCATAGGTCGCATGAGCCTTAGCATTGTTCGGGTTGTAACAAGCATCGCCTGGTTGAATGGGTTTGCAATCAACTCCTTGGCTGCAGATGTAGTTGATGTTGGAATGTAGTTCTGCATCAGTGGCCTGTTGTTTAGGCACACACCATCCTTTAGCAGGGCTAGGTCCATCAGGCCGAGCAGTCGATTTTGGTGGCCCTACAAGACTAGGACGCCTCTGAGACTACAAGCCAAGGAAACACCAAATATTTAGATCATCATGATATATTGCGATTCAAAACTATAAATAACTTCAGACATGAGACATGATAAGAGGTTGAGAGGGATAGTCGAAGTACATTAGTACAATATCATTCACACACATTTATCTCATTTACATATGGCTGATAAAATTCTCATGATTTGAAGTACTTTCTGCCTGAAGCTCAAAATGCTAAATAAGATCTTCTTTCATTGACATTTATATTTCATAAAGATGTCAGTTACTGGACATATATACTAATTCATTACTTTTGCTAAAACAACGGTACCTGAAATTAGTAATTGGAGACACTAAACCAAAATAGATACCCGTCCCTTAAATTGCAACTTTAATAAAACTGAAGCAAATAATTAGTAATTGGAGCAGAAGCTTTATTGTTTTTGCAAAGACATCCAGAGCAAAACCAGAGGATTTAGCTTAGGAGAAGGAAAACTCCAGTCGCAGTTTATTGCATATTGCACTAGTAGAATAACACAAATGCGCACCGGTTCAAAACCCCCCTTTCGCACCGGTTTTGAACCGGTGTAGATTTGAGGGATGCTAAAAAAAAAAACTTTGGCACCGGTGCTAAAAACCTGTTACTGGTTCTTGCTGAGAACCGGTGCTAAAAACCTGTTATGGGCACCGGTTCTTGCTGAGAACCGGTGCTAATAACCTCTCTTTTTTTTTTTTTTTTTTTTTTTTTTGCTTTTTTTCTGACAGCAAACACCTTTCAAAAAACTTATAATGCATATTATTAAGAAACTTGTATTGCAAAAACCATATATATATATAACTTATAATACATATTATTAATAAACGTGTAATGTATACATTGTTTGATCATACACCTTTCAAAAAAAACTTATAATAAACTTGCTCCCTTCTGGTTGCTGCAGCCTGGGGTTGGTGTTGCTGGGTTGCTTGCTGCTTGTCCGGCTGTTCTTGCTGGTTGTTTGGGGTTCTCTGCTGGTGCTCTTATTTGGTGCTACTACTGTCCTATTGTTGCACTGGGGCTGGTTTACAACCAGGCACTATAGCAGGTCTCTGTTTCTAGTGCTGTTGGGTGATGTTTCTGCAGGTTCCGGCTACTGTTACCTGTTTTGCAATTCTGGCTTGTGCATTTTGCTCCTTGTTGTTGGTGCTGCCTACTGTGTCGCAACTGATTCTGGGTCTGCTGGTGGGGTGCTACTACTGCGCTGGTTTCCTGCTGCTGCTAGTTTCTCAAACTGCTACAGCATGCTCCCCTTCTTGCTGGTCTGTGTTGATATTGCAGCTTGGTTGCTGTCCTTTTGTTGCTATTGGGTGCTACTTGGGGCTGCTGCCTTGGTTTAGCTTTCTGGGAGTAATTCACAATAGAGTATCAACCTAAGTGGGTAAAAATTGGGTATAAGAATGAAATGGAGATGAATTCATAAGCCTGCGATCAAAGCTCCAATTACTACGCAGAATGTGCCTACTTGGAGGAGTAACTCCACTTTGCTTACTTCGAGTCTTCGGGAACTAATACATGAGAAGACATTTCTCTCATTAACAAATGCTCTCAACAATAACTAAGTCTCTGGAGCAAAAAATGAAATACGAGCATAAAAGATCAATATATACACGCTTCTTGATTTGCCATAAAAATGATCCTGCTCTTTAAGTTGAGGAATGATTGGTAGGCGGGGCTAACATAGTATGCATGTTCTGGGACTACTTACTTCGCTATCCTAGATCAAAAAGTTTAAAATTACGATTTGGGCAATTAGAGACATGCCTCAAACCTCCAGTAACCTAGGTTGCACAAATCAAAATAATGAAGGGTATAAGTACAAAAATTATCCCAAAACTGACCTTAAATTTACAACAATTGAGTCTTCCATCTCTTTGGCAGAGTCAATAAGCCTTTCAGCTTGACCATGGATAGATTCACACCTGCAAATGCAAGCAATGAGATTCGTCTCACAACTCTAAAACTTTCTCAAAATGAATAGGAGCTCTCCTAGACTCGATTCCCCAAAACCACTACAGATCATTATTGTAGATTAATGAGTGTTACAGCCTACTAGTCTGCATGATGCATATGAAAGGTATTAAATAATGCACGGCATTATAAAAACAAGTAGATCATTGTGGCAACATACAGTACAAGCATTCTTGATGAACTGCCTGGTATATTAAATAGATGAAAGAAATGAGAAAAAAGGCATGTTTGAAGGGTTAAAACTACCTCTGAAGATAGTTTTCCAACAACATTTCAATTTCTTCCTCCTCTTCTGCATCAGACACACTATGGCTCCGTTTGGTAGGGCGTAAAACATTTTCACTGAAAAGTGTTTTCCCATTTTACATTATTTGGTTTGGTGTAAAACATTAAAATGTAAAACTTGGGGTGGAAAATCATTTTCCACCTTATTGAAAACATTTTCCCCCCAATTTATTAGGAAAACATTTTCCATCACAAGTGGAGGGAAAACATTTTCCATCACAAGTGGAGGGAAAAAATTTTCCCTCACAATTGAATTTTCAGTTCAACCAAACAATGGAAAATGCTTAAAATGGAAAATCATTTTCCATTCAACCAAACAACGGAAAACTTTTTTGAAAATGAGTTTTCCATTGTAAAATGATTTTCATGGAAAACCATTTTACATTGAAATTGTTTTACACCCTACCAAACGGACCCTATGTTAGGAACCCTTTTCAAAGATTTCATGATACATGCACACAACAGTTTTCCCTTTATGACTCACCCTCTGCAATATCTTTGTCCAAGGGGACTGAGCGTTCTAAGGAGTGAGTTATTCTATCAACTGTGCAATTCCTTCCCATAATACATATCCTGCGCAATTCCTGTGTATCTTCCAATAGATCAAGTAGCATCTGCCTGAGATCCCGAGATCAAGATCCCAACTCGACCTTGACAAATTTAGGAATAGATTTCAGGTTCTTTACCACTAAAATCATAATACTATTGCTTGTTTGTTGAAAAAATGACAAGACATACCAAAGTTTGCTTGCTAGTGCGAAGTTGTTCCAAAATATCACCTGTTAATCGATTGGGGAGAACCTCAAGTAGTGATTCAACCTGAGGTGCATGAAATAATACTTCTTTTACAGTTTGGAATAGAATTACAAAACCAAAGGAATATAGAAATAGAATAACCCCAATCTCTAATGATTTTCAGAAATGTAAGAATAATTTAGCATAACTTTCCTGTTTAAGGACAAAGCTAACTGGGAAACACCCAAAACACAATTGGAATTTGGAATACAATTTTAGTTTCCAAGTTCTGGATTGCCAAGATATCAAATAAGAAAATAACAAAAGCTAACTTATACTTGAAAAAGCATCTCCATTGGAGTATTCGAAATTCATACACAAGTTCATTGAATTTCACCAACAATTTTTCTTAATTTTTGATTTAAATGACAGTAAGCAATCATTAACAATCCATAAGATGACAGGAAGCAATCATCGCAATCAAAAGCACGGTAAACTATTCACATGCAAATCAAATCAAAATTCAACAGAACCCCATTTGATTCAATCAAAATTCAAAAAAGCACATATTTTTAGGGCTATTTGATTCAATTATCAAATTATGCTCGAAAAATAACATATTTTAAGGGATATTTGATTCAATTACAAATTAGGGTCGAAAATTCAGAGGGAAATTTGATTCAAACATCAAAAATAGTTGAGATTTCGAACCCTAAACTTACCGCATTGACAATTAAAATGAATCAGATAAAACATAAACCCTAGATTATGAAATTGATATGATGACTATAAAAAGAAACAACAAGTTACCTTAGAAGTTGCCTCTTCAATGGGGGATACACAGATTAGAAGGCGCCGTCTGCTTGAAACTAAACCTTAACCACCGAAACTCACTCCAACCACCCCGAAATACTCAACACTCACCCGAAAAATTCGAAAATCCGAAAACACTCACTCCAAAAAAGATTGATCTAGAAAGAGAAAGCGAGAAATACCTGAATACCAGAACAGGGGGAAGGTGGCCGCCGGTGGAGAAGGAGATCGAAGGAGAGAGAAAAGGAAAGGGAAAGAGATGGAGGAAAGAGAAACAAAGAAGACAGAAAGAGAAAGAAAGAGTAGATATTTAGAGGCAGACCGGGTTTTTTTTATTTAGCAATAGGTTTCGCACCGGTTTGGTTAGAACCGGTGCGGAAACTCTATTTCCCAATCTCGCCTATTTTTTTTAGCACCGGTTTTCAAAAACCGGTGCAGATTGTGCGGTGCCTATTTCATTTTTTCTACTAGTGTTGGCAAAGTAGCTATAGTATGAAAGGCTCTATTACCTCCATGGACATTTGTCATGATCTGTGCTTCTTGCAAAAAGAAAGGAACAAATCAAAGTCTACAAGGGGCTCATACTTTCACCTGCTTGGATAATCCACCTAGGATTCTGATAATGGAAGAGGCAACCTAGATTAGTTTTCCATTTAACGTATCACAAAGAGTGTTAAGGAAACTGATGTTTAAAACAATAAGCAACCAGGGGCAAGCCAAAAACAATGCGTACCATTTTCTAGACAAAATTTACTAGTATCATGTTTGATTATGTATTGCAGGACAGGGTGGAGAAATTTTACCTATCGTTAATAGCACCAGTTACTATTAAATAAGCATTACAAAATCAAAGGCACCAGGAATTTTTATATATTTAGTTCAATTCTATTACAAATGCAGCCACCTACTTAGCCCCCTTCTAATGTCTAATTATCATATTGCTAAGGTTAAGAATAATACCCATACACTTAAATCTTAGCCAGTTGTTTACAAATTTTAGAACTTCATACTACATTTCTTCCCCAAAAGCTATACTTTGAAGCCCTGATTTACTTTTTACTTACGCTTCATACTACTTCTTCCCCAAAAGGCTAGAATCAACGCCCGTGAATTACTTTTTTCTTGAGCTTCTTCAGAATTGCATCAAGTTTGGCCTTTTCATTCTCTTTATCCCTTTATAATCACACCAACAACGACCACCAACAACCAAAAAAATGGCACAACAACAACAACCACCAACAACCAAAAAAATGGCACAACAACAACGACACCAACAATAGAAAAAATGGCACAAAAATCGCCCAACAAAACCGCACATAAATCGCACAAAAAAATGGTAAAATGACGAAAAAAATCAAACAATAATAATCAAGAGTAGCGCTGAAATTACTTAATATCGCTGAAATTCGAACACTAAAATCGCTGAAATTCCAGCCTAAAATCGTTGAAGTTTGAACCCTTAAATCGCCAAACTTTGAACCCTAAAATTGCCGAAAATAAATGAAAATCAAAGTATGAAAAATGAAAAATCGAATTTAACTCATGCGAAATTCATGAAAATCAAATCATCAAATCGCAAAAATCAAATCACAAAAATAGCAAAAAATAAAATCGCAAAAAAAATCAAATCGAAAAATCGCAAAATCTACTTGAACATCATGCGTTTTTCATGAAAATTTGAAAAAAAAAGAATCGTACTTGATTTGAGTAATTAGGTTGTTTATGCGAAATTTGAACAAAAACTCTTCAATTTGTAGCAATTTGTGTTCAATTTTGGAATTTGAGGAGAGAGAAAGACAAGAGGTTTGAAAGTTTGAGGAGATAGAGATGTTGAATGTGAAAGCCAAGAAGAATAGCAAAGAGAGAAGGAAGTGTAATTCAAGAAATTACGAAAATGCCATTATTATGCCTTTTTTGGATGGTTAGATTTAATTTGATCAATGGTCTAGATTTGTTCTCATATAGATTAGAGTTTTCACATAAGGGATGTGTTCTCACCTGATCTCATTCTATATAATATATATATTATTGAGATCATGTAAGAACCTAGGTTTATAATAGGAACTAGGAACTCATCTATACTGTTGATTGCGCTCAATCTAATGACTCATATTCCACCCGCCTCATTAAGGGCAAAATGGTAAATTCGCGCTTTGAATGACTGGCTTCAATTAGTCTGATTTTTATTTTTACTTTCTCTCTTCGTTTCATTTTCTTTCTCTTCCTTCGAATTTTTCTGCGCTCTTGTCGTCGTTGGATTTGCTTTTCTTCTTCGCCTTTTTTCATTGCAAATTGATACCGGACAAGTAAGTTATTTGATTGTGATTTTCTTGTGTTTAATTCAATTATTGTATAGTTGTTTGATTTTTTATGATTTCGAGTCTTAAATTAGGGTTTTCGTTATTTTCAGTTTGCGCAATTGCTATTTTGGTATTTTCGCTGAGATTTTGTTGCGATTCTTGTTGATTTTTCTTGCGATTTTTTTAGTCCAAGGTAGAAAATTTAAATTCAATTTTATTGTCGGTTTTCTGTAACTAGGTTTCGGTTGAATAATCAATTTTTCTATTTTTTTTTTTTTTTTTTGCGTTTTTTCAATTTACTGTAATATTATTGAGTAAATCATGTGAGAATTTAGAGCAGTTTGAATTTGGATTTGTTGTTTGGACTGCCACGATAATTTTTTAATTTTGGTTTGCTAATTTTTTTCTGAGTGAATTTCGACGATACTTGATTTTGTGTTAATGTATGTTCATATTAATAATTCTGTAAGTGAATTATTGTGAGATTATTCGCTCTTGAATCCATTTATATTGTTGTATAGTTTGCTGAATTTTTGTTGTATTTGACTTAATTTGATTTAAGAATCAAGTTTTTACTATTTTGATAAGGGAAATTAAGGTTTTCACAATTTCAGAGCTATATGTTTCTATTGGTTATTTTAGCTTAAATCCAAACCAAGTCATGATATTTTTGGTTATTTAATTTACTTTGGAGTTTATATTATTTACTTTTAAGTTGATTGTAATTGTCGAGTTTGAGTATTTGATTGTATGTAAATAGAAAACTATATTTGGAGTAAATGTCCATCAAGAGCTACTGACAGAGTACGGACCATGATCATCATACTATCTAAGCAAATAAGGTTTGGGGGAGTTTTAGATGATTCCAGCCTTGTCTTATACTTTATAGATTGGTTTATTTACATTAAATAGTTTTCTATTTACTTTTAAGTAATATTGATTTACTATAAATGTTTAATATACTAGCTTAATTCTTTTTGTTGTCTTACTTTGCATGATACTGCCCCTGATATAATACCATTGTGCTTTAGATGTCATTAAGGTCAGGTACCACAAATAGTAATTGGGATGTTGTTCTTTCTCTTTTCTGTTTTTTTTTTTTCTATTTAATTTTTGTAAGAAATATAAACTAGTGTGCTGAATTGCTAGCAAATTCCTAGAGTTGAATCGTGGAGGTTGTGGCAGTTTCATCTCAAATCTCGATCGATATTGCTGATATGCAATGTATGCCTATTTGATAAGGGTCTTTATTGTGTCTGTGTAGCTCTTAATTTTTTTCCATGGGGAGTTCCTAAGGTCTTGTCCTGTACACAATGATGATTATACGGGGCTGGGTGCCGTGGCTTGTAACGAGAAGGGGGAGATAATGTGGACTATTGTACGACGCATAGCAGTAAGTTGGGAGGCTGAAAATACAGATGTAGCAGCAGCCAGTAGCATGGTTGGGAGAAGATGTATTTCTTTGATTAAGTTTTTTCTTATTTACTTTTGAGTATTTTTTATTTACTTTTGTGATTATTCTATATAAAAACGATCGATTGCGCTAACTAATTATTCCTACTCTATAATAGCCTACTAGCTCAATAGGTAGAGCATTGTGCAAGTGCACAAAAGATGTGGGTTCGAACCCCACGTAGGTTTTATATGTGTAATCTGAAGATTAGAATTCGTAATGTTTTATTAGATTTCTTCTTTTTTTGTTTGCTTTTGATATAGTTTTATTTACTTTTAATTTGAAAAACTCTACATCATATCGAACTCAATATATTTGTTTCCTATGATTTAACTCATCTTATAAGGATATGAAAGTCAATTACTCGGAGTTTTTGTGCTATAACAAAGTTTCCTTAGTCATTTATCATTTCAAGATAATTTATTATTCATATACTTAGAGCTGATTTGATTTACTTCAATGATACTTTGATTTACTTTTTAGCATTATTTATTTACTTTATAGTAATTATGATTTACTTTTGACATATATTACTGCTTTTTAGTTTTTCTACTTTTGAGATATTTTTATTACTTTTGAGATATTTTGAATAACTTTAAAGTATTTTGTATTTACTTTTTAAGATAACCTATGTAGGAATCGAACTTGCACCTTTATGCATCCGCATAGCGCTCTACCACGAGCTAATAGGTTTACTTTAAAGTTTTTTTTATTCACTTCAGAGTCTTTTTTATTTACTTTTTTCACACCAAAAACCACTTGAGCTAATTTGATGTGTTTGGATACAGACATACAGTAAAGTGTATGGAACCTTAACCGGTCCCTGTCGATTTTTGAGTTTCTTGTCATTGTTCCTTTCTGTGATATTCTTTTTAATATCTAATAGCTTCATCTGAAATCTTTGGAATGCAGCAAGTGGTTCAGCATCAGAAGTATAACCAGCTCTTAAATAATTGTTTAAGCAGGGCAATTCCTGCTTCTCTGACAAACTTAACTCTCATTTCAGCAGCTTATTTCTAATAAATCAGCTAACAATCAACTAAAATGCTAATCATTTTTTAATACAATGCTGCAATCTGCTAATGAGTTATATATTTGAGACTGCTAATGCGTTATATATTTATTATTTGTGCTGCAAATTTGCGGGAAGGGATCACAAATTTGCTAATATTCTTACCTTGCTTGCATTTGGAACTGCTTCTGCAGGGCTTTCATCTTTTGGTTGATACGGTCTCTTCTTCGCCGTGATATTATTTTTTTGAACAAGTAGAATCAGTCATATCAGGTATGTTATTTCTGAATTTAGTCCAAATAAGATAACTACTTTTGTGCATGTTCTAGAAAAGTTATTATCTTTTGAAGTTGTTATCAAAATTGCTTGTAGGTAATGAAGAATTTGATTATTAATAAATTTACCCTTTCAGACTGATTATGAACAGTAGTTGCCCTTCCTTTTCTTATTGTGTATGATTGACCTGTTTCTCCATTTGTTTCTCGCTCTTCTTCTTGGATTTCCTGTTACAAGTGTTAAAACATATAACTATAAGTTTTCGTGCTGATACTGTTAGAAAAAAGAGGGGGCATGCTCTAGATCAATCTTGTGGCCTAGCCAGTGATGGAGAAGAAGAGATTCTTGTAGGAATTAAGCTCCATGAGATTTTATTTTATGTCATAATATTGTACCAACAGAGAAAGATATTGGACAAATGGGGAATTCTACAGAATTTCAGTCTTTAATTAGGATTTTACATGCTAACAGGTTTTGCAAGGTTCAATTTCATACAAATCATCACTCTTGTTTCAGAATAAACCTGGTTACTCATCTAGGATAAGGGTTGAGTACAACTTATATTCGAGCATATAACTCTTGATTGCTTTGCTTAGGATTGAACAACTTAATTATTGGATATAGAAGATGCCCCAACTCAATCATTGGGAAGATCTAGCAACTAAGTGTGCTAAAAGTATTACCCACTCTCTTAACATGACTACATCGAAAATCATCAAACAAAGACATCGAATTAATAACACGACCAAGTGAAGAGTAACAAATGGCTAAGCCCTGACATTTTCCCTTTAATTTTCTCAACGATAGTGAGAGCATCATTCTCCATCCACACCCTGCTATAGCCAAAACTCCATGACATCTAAACCCCATAACACAAAGCAGCAGCCTCAGCAACACATGGTTCCCACACGCTAGTTCTTCTCCTTACTGGAGTGGTTAAAACCTTGTCATTTGAGTCCCGCACAACCACCCCAAGACCCACTTCCTTCCCATTCATGATTGCAGCACCCACATTATTTTTAATTTTTAATAAGATTAATAGGAGGTTTTACCTACCTGGACTTTTGCAGCATATGCATTATAGTCATCTAGATACCTGGTGAAACCTGTAGGTAGCGTTATAGGATCGTGTGTTGACGGCTCATGGATGACGTTATTCCTACTAGTCCAAGAGGACCAACATAAGTTTGCAAACACTGAAATCTCATCCCCTAATAGTCTCTCTACCACCCAGCTTAGGAAATCCTGAAAAGAAGAGCTGGGAGCTTCAGTAATCAATTCTGAAAATCGACTCACACCCCAAATTAGGCTAGCATATGCTTACTTTAAGAGAGGATTAGGTTACTTTTAGATAGATATAGTTTACTTTTATGAGATATATACTTTCATGGACATAGGTACAAGACCCAGCACAAGATTAGAACATTGTTCATGAAGAACGAAGTAAAGCTTAAATTAGCAACTAGGCTTGCAAACCTTCAAACCATGGTGTTCATCTTGAAAGTTGCCAATTTGAAGGTCGGCCGAGTGTTGATAGACACAGGCAGCTCGTTCGTCATTATCAACTTAGCTTGTTTGAAAATTTTGAAGTTTCCAAAGGATATCCTCAAGGATATTTCCCACCCGTTGGACAGGTTTGGTGGGAGCATTATTCACTGATGAGTCTATTTTATATATATTTTTATTCCCCGTCCTATGGTCATATTTGTGCTTATTTGAGCTCTACGGAGCTATTTTTATTACTAATATACGTTTTCTAGTGTTTTTGTAGAGTTGGTATTATTTTGTAGGAATTTGCAGATTTATGACAATTTCCGAGTTTATTGAGCCACTACAAAGCATTTTAGAGTCCGATCATATTTTATGACTGGATATTTTAAGCCCAAGACCAAGTTAAAGAATTTTAATTCGGTGATTAAGGGCTCGATTGGTGAAGAAGTCCAAGTTTTATAAGCTAATATCAAGTCCAAGTCCAAAAGAGGAGGTTGGGCTCAAGTTTTGAATCAGCCCAATTCAAGTTAAAAGATCCAATCTCGTGAATCTGCTGGGCGTGAGGATAGCGGGCCCGATCTGGTAGGCCATTGCCTGATCGGGCGAGTGCTTGCTGTTGCTACTATAGTTTGGCTGGGCCTTGTTGCAAAAAAGCCCAATAGATGTTGAGGCGGTTAATAGGATTTTACTAAGCTTTGTTTCCACGCTTTTGAGGACTTTTTTTTAGCTGATAGTTATTTTGGGGGTTGACTTTATTTGGAGCTTTTACGGAACTTTGCCTCAGGTTTTCTTTAGTTTTAGTTTTATTGTCTTCCATTATTATTAGAATTTTAGCTAGTTTATAGTTTGGCTTTTCTTCTTTTATGCTTTTTAGTTTTAAGATGATCAGGCTTTGTTTTACGTAATCTATGTTCTACGACCTTTCATACTAAGTTTTAATTGTTAATTTGCTTCTTGTTTTCTTTAATCTCGTATTCTTGTTTTTATTATGTTTAATTTAATTGCTTTGTTTAGTTTAATTTTAATTATGTGTGAGTAGATTTAATTCTAGGGTTGTGGGGATTCATGAATAATACGAAGGGATAATTTATTATCATTGATTATTAATGATTGATTAATTTCCTATTGATTGATTTAATACTATGCAATTAGATTAGGCCTGGTTTATTTGTACGAGTTTTGCAATATTGATTCGAGATTCGAGAGATGAGAATTGATGTTTAGGCTTAGTTTCAATAGGCATGTTAATCTATAAATGGTTATGTCGAGATTCGAGAGATGAGATTTAATACCGGTAGATTGATTATGTGATTATAATACGTAGCGACAGCCCTTTATAATCCGATTAATTTATGCATTGATAGTTGATCGTATGTTTTACCCTGGAGTATTATTTATTGGTGAACCTATACCCTAGAGCTTTTATTATTCATTATTCCTTTGTTTAATTTGCTTAGCTTTAATTATTAGTTTAATTCCTTCAAATATAAATTGGTTACTCTATAATTTAGATTATAATAATTTATTAGGAATAAAAGAACATTGTTTCCCTGTGGATTCGACCCTACTTCCCTATCGACTTTACTTAGAGGACTTAGGAATTACTTTTGATTAGGTGATACGACTAGAACCTATCATTCACCCGGTTGGACGGATAGACTTGCTCGTCTGACTTAGTCCAAAGGGAGAGGGAAGGGATATGGTCGTCCGCTTCCTAGTTGTTAAAGAACTTACAGGCTACAATGTCATCCTTGGCCACCCTACTTTGACATCAGCTAAGGCAGTAATCGTCCCACATTTAATGCCGATGAAGTTTTAGCGGTTTGATGGGAAGATAGATTCCAATCGAGGAAATCAGAAGATGGCAAAGGAATGTTATTAGATGGCCGTGAAGCCAACAGCTCGTGGACGAGAAAACGCGTCCGAGCAAAATTCTGAAGAAGGGTCACTCCAAACATACCAAGTCGACCAGAAGCACAAGTCAATTAAGAAAGAGCAAGCATAGCAATTAATGACCGTCGGGCGACCAAAGGAGTTAAGGCCACAGCCGGCCGGTGATCATACGGACATAGTGCTTGATTTTAACCAGCCTGATCGGACGGTCAAAGTGGGCACCGTGGCCATGAGTTTGCTTGGGGATGACTTGGTGAATTTGCTAAGAGAATTCAGAGATGTTTTTGCTTTCGAAGTTCACGAGATGCCGGGTATCAACCCAGACTTAGCTGTTCGCAGGTTGGCTGTGAATCCGGCTATGAGGCCTGTTCGGCAGAAAAAGAGAAACCATGGTGAAGAAAGGAATCAGGTGGCCGCAGCTGAAGTCAAAAAGCTGTTGGATGCCGACTTCATTCGGCAATGTTACTATCCTGATTGGGTAGCAAATGTAGTTCTTGTGAAGAAGCCGAATGGAACTTGGAGAATGTCCGTAGACTACATCGACCTCAACAAGGCATGCCCTAAGGATAGTTTTCCCTTGCCTAAAATTGACGGCCTGGTTGATTCAACGGCCGGGCATGCCCTGATGAGCTTTATGGACGCATTTGTGACCGAGCAAGGGTTATATTGCTACAGGGTGATGCCATTCGGCCTGAAGAATGCCCCTGCCATGTTTCAAAGACTCGTGAATACGGTCTTCAGAGATCAGATCGGCCGGAACTTGGAAGTTTATATTGATGACATGATTGTTAAATCAAAGAGGTCGACTAATCATCTGAAGGACCTCCGAGAAACATTTGCCGAACTCAGGCGGCATAAGATGATGTTAAATCCAAAGAAGTGTGTCTTTGGTGTTGAGTCCGGCAAATTTCTCGGATTTTTAATTGATCAGCGCAGCATTGAGGCTAACCCTGAGAAGGTCCAGGCGGTCTTAGACATGAAATTGCCCAGGACCATAAAAGAAGTTCAAAGGCTGACCGGCTATTTAGCTGCGCTCAGACGATTTCTGTCAAGATTAGGGGATAAGTGCCGTTATTTTTTCCAGACTATTAAGAAGAAAGCAATGTTCGAGTGGACATAGGAGGCTGAGGAAGCCTTTGTACAGTTGAAAAATCATTTGCATACCCTTCCTCGGCTCGTCAGTCCACTCAAAGATGAAAAGCTATATATGTATCTTGCAATTTCAGATCATTCCTTAAGTGTCGTCCTGCTTGCTGAAAGGGACAAAAATCTGATCCCCGTGTATTTCATTAGCCATGTCTTGCATAATGCCGAGCTTAGGTATCTACCCATTGAAAAGTTTGGCTTGGTATTGTTCATGGCATCAAAGAATATAAGGCCCTATTTTCTTGCTCACTCAATTGTGGTCTACACGGGCCAACAATTGAAGAAGCCGTTCACAACATTGGAGGCCAGTGGCCGAATGCTTAAATGGGCCTTAGAATTGAGAGGATTCGATATCACATTCGAACCTAGAAAAGAAATCAAGGGTCAAGCCTTTGCAGATTTCTTGGCCAAAATGACACGGCCGAACTTACAGCCGGCAGGGGATCGGATCTAGAAAGTTTTTATGGATGGAAGTGCAACAGCGACCGGATGTGGCGCTGGTATCATATGTCAATCTCCGGAAGGAGACAAGTTTGAATATGCGTTGAGATTCAAGTTTCAAGCCTCTAACAACGAGGCAGAGTATGAAGCCCTCCTGTCCAGACTTAAAATGTGTAAGGTGGTCGGGGCAACCAAAATTGATGCTAGTTCGGACTCCCATCTGATAGTCAGCCAAGTGAATGGTGACTATGAAGCCAGGGAGCCGGCCATGATGAAGTATCTTTAGATGGTGAAGGATGAGGCCGAGGGCCTAGATCACTTCACGTTGCAACAAGTCCCTCGGTCAGAGAATCATCAGGTGGACGCCCTCTCCAAGCTAGCCTCCTCGATATCATGCGATACTCCAAGATCTGTGTTCTGGGAAGTTAAGGAAAAGAGGAATATCGATGTTGAGCCTGTGCAAATCATTGACAAAAGC